CGGATAAATGAACGGCTCTTCAACATAATTCAATAAATAATATCTAATAGTAATGAAGAGATATGTTTTGTATGTTTAATCATATTATAATACTATATATGTGGTATTTCTTCTTTTATTCAACTCATACTGCATAATTAATTAATTATATTTAATATACAACATTTAATTTCTGCTTCATCAAAGTGTAAAATGTGTCAAAATCTCATCGTGTTTGTTTACCGTAAGAAATGAGACCAGCTGTTCGCCAAGGTTAATTTATAGATATAAATTAGCTATAAAAAGAGGAAATTGTTGTCCTCATTTCCAGTTTTACTTTTTAATTTAGCCTAAATTAATTATCAATCATGGTGCCGTTTATTTTCTTGGTGGTTAGCGTTCTTACGCAGCGATTTACGCAGCGTAAGTAAAGACATATTATATATTGAATAGTAATAAAATATATTCTTTCGTTATTTTTGTTTCTGATGAAAATTGTACTTTTTATATTTTTAATCATACATACCATCGTATATTTTGCAAGAAATTTAGAAATGCATATTTATTATATGTAGTCAATTTCTAGAGATATTCGCTGAGGAACCTGAAGCGATCGTAGGTGGTCAAAACGCCATACCAGGCGAATTCCCGCACCAAGTTTCACTGAGATTTAACGACAATCACTTTTGCGGCGGCTCCATCATCAGCCAGACTAAGATTCTGACTGCTGCACATTGCGTAACCGTTTCAAAACCTCCCTACAATGACTTCAAAGTTGCCACTGGATCCATCTCAATCACTGGAGGACAACTCCATAACGTGAAGAAAATTACCGTACATCCGCAATTCTCTAACAAACATGAAGATGCTTGGATAAATGACATTGCTGTGATCACGGTAAGTCGAATACAGAATAATTACTATACGATTTGCTTCTATAGTGTTAAATGTTCCAGTTTATTACTTCTTTTCTAATTTTTTTCTGATATGTTTCTTTTTATATATTTACTTTGTTTCTTCATTGTTTATAAAATTGAAACATTAAATCATTTAAAAAGAAAAGGGCTACAAGCCAAAAAATTCATTAAAATATGCAATTGTTTGTAAATAAAAATTGTCATTTGATTAAAATTACATAGTTTAATTAGAAAAACAGA